GTATCTTGGTACATTGGATCTCAAAGGTGCCGACTGTCTTTCCGCAGTGGCGTACGCCATTTCTCTATTGTGATCTAGCTGATGGGATTGGTCGGTCTCGCAGGCCTCATGGGTGGGAGAACGTGTAGTCTTCGGTGATCGTTGATGCCCCCATTCAGGAACAGCTTCGTCGAGGTGCAGCGCAACGTTTGCGTGAACTTATGGGGTCTCGCTGTGCTTACTGTGGTTGGCAATGCGGTCGGACATATTCAGAACTTTTTGGGATTCAGAAGGGGCCTCGAGCATAATCGATCCCGTTTTTTGGTAACGCTGCATTTGTTGAGGGGTCTGTTTCCCGCTTCGAGGGCTTGAGGCTAATCTAACAAACAATTCGTGGACAATCGCCCGAATATTATTCACCCGCGACGTGCACTTTGACGTGTGGCAAGGCCAGCTTGTTGGGAGGTCAATATGTTCAGCGTGTTAGCCGTCACCGCGATCTCATGATATCTTCTATGAGGACAACGGAGTTCTCGTGCTGACTTTCGCAATGCGGCTTTCTTGAAGCTGTCGAGAGACATGCAGATGCTGTTCCCCCTGCTGGGCAGCGGGCGTTCTCCGCTTCGGGGCGCGCGTGTCTCATGTATGAGGAGGGATATGAGCGTCGCCGATGCCTTTTGGCTGAGCGGGTTCGTCTCCGCCGATCCAAAAACGGTCTGGGCGTGGCAGCTGCGCTTGAGTTGCATGCGCAACGTCGCGTGATGTCGTTTGACTTCTTGCTGGGCGACGCCGTGCAGCGCGCGCTCTTCGCTCTCAGTTGGCGGAAGAGGCGTCTGGGCAGGGTCGCGGGGCGTGCGTGCCTCGGAGGTATTTCCATGATCCAGTCGCGCCACTCGTTGTGGGCCTGGGGAATCGAGGCGGGCGTCTGGTGCAGGGGCCCCATGCTGAGGCGGTGGAAGCGGCTCCAGGTCGGGCGAGCCCCCGGGGGTGGAGGAGGCGCGATGGTGGGGGAGGCGGACTGGGAGACTTGGCTGGCGGAGAAGGATAAGGGGGGCTCGACGGAGGAGGACCTGGAGCTTGCGCGGCAGGGTCTCGAGCAGATGAGTCACCTCGGTGGTCTTCGCAAGATTCAGGCACTATGATGAGGGCCCGTTATATTAGCTTCGTAGTCGTGGGGCGGGGCGCCCGAAAAGCGCGCGTCGCGGATTTAGGGGGAGACGAGTTGTGCGCGTTCCTTTATTTTGGGTGGATGACCATTTTATTCGCGAGTGTTGAGCCAAGTGCCCTCTCAATGCGACCAGCAATGCATTGCGCATCGGCGGCGCGAGGCCGCAGTTGTCATTGCTCGGGTGAATCGCTGGCGGCTGCGTCGCGCGACGCGCTCTTTTGTGATCTGCCTTGAAGGGTGCGACTGGCGCTTCGGGGGGGGCTGCCGTGTCAGAATGGGAGATCGCGGTCTCCCGCTCCACTTCGGAGGCGAAGAGCGCCAGTTGCTGGTCGCGCTATGAGAACTGCGTGCCAGCATTCACTGCTGGTGAAGGCCCTCCTTGCAGGCCGTTCCACGGCGGCGTCGCGCGGGCGGGCGGGGGCGGGGTTTGCGGGGTGGTGGGGGTGGTGGTGGTGGTGGTGGTGGTGGTGGTGGTGGTGGTGGTGGTGGTGGGGATTCAGAGGCCGTTTTCCTATGATTCGTTCGCGTTGTATTCTGCAGTGGGTTTGCCGGTGGGGTCGAGTCGACCCGGTGTCGCGTTTTTTTGTTTCGAGGTGGCTGGGGTTCCAGAGTCATGTGAGTATGTTGAATTTCGAAGATGATGTAAACGACCCCGTCGTGGCCTCGAGTGGCATGGCCCTGGGGGGCCTTCGGGAAGGTGCAGGGTGTGGGCGAGTTTCTCGATTCCGCGATGTTGCCGTTCGGGTGCATTGAGGACTTCGGAAAGCAATCGCCGTTGGCGCATTTCGTTTCCCAGGGGGCTCGGGCTCGACGGGCAGCCCGAGAAGGGGTCGCGGGCGTCCAGTGGGGATTCCAGAGGATGGCGCGAGGCATCTGGGCCCCCATATTCGAGTTCGAGGCTCTCGCCGACAGAAGGTCATTAGGAGGTGCTCGGCAGCCAGGACTGCCGTTCGTCGTATAGGTTGCATCTGCTTGCTGGCTATCCCATTTAAGTGGCGCAAGTGTCGGCTCGTGGGCAACGCGCAGAATGCGCTGCTGGTGTGCTTGGGGGCGCCAAATCTTAGCGAGGCCGATCGTCGGCGCGCGGGCAGCTGTCTTGCCTCTCTGGCTCGGATAGCGATGCTTGGGGGAGCGAAGTTGCGCGGGGAAAGCAGGGCTCGGTCGCTTTCCCGTCCTTGGGCCCCTCCGCGCCGGCGAGTTTTCCACGGGGAACGCGAATTGAATATTTTCCGACGGAGGTGGTATTTCGAGTTGGCCAGAGTGACCCGGCCATCGCACCTGGCCGTTACGCGCCATGTTCGGGGGTCTTGAGTGCGAGGAAGAGGCGGGGCCCCCGCTCGAGCAAGATCACGGCATTCAGGCGTCTCTCGGGCTCGGTTCTCAGGGGCAGTTTCTGCGAGATTTGGCCGTGGCCACTTGGGGGCGCACCGGCCTCGAATTCTGGAGTGTTCTCTGCGTGCGCATGGGATTCCAGACCTACCTGATTCATATTGTCATTTGGCGTGTAGGTATCCTCCTTGGAAGCTCCTTCCATTCAAATCTGAGCGCGGAACTTGGGAAGCGGTCCCAGGTGGCGGAGCTGGCCGTGTCATCGCGGCCCAGCAGCGGCAAGAAACGAGAAGGCCCCAGCGAGGGCGGAGAGTCCAAGGGGGGATCATCTGCAGGCGGCGGCAAAGCGCAGAAGAAGGGCGCCGCGGGTGGCGACGAGGGCGGCAATGACATGGCCCGCGTCTTGGAGATGGTCGCGCGGCTTCTGCTCGCCGCCACTCGCAATTTCGCAGACGTGGCCAACGCGGCGTTTCTCTGTCGGGACATCGTGCGCGATCGAGGCCCCCCCCCCCGCGCAGTTTATCGTCGCCGGCAGGCGCTGCGACGGCCAGAGCACGGACATGAGAGCCAGTCATGGCCAGGGCGAGGAGCGGGACTTCAAGGGGCGGGGGCCGCCCCGCGCGCGCGTCCTCGCGGAGGCGATGGAGACCCGCGCGTCGCGCGCGCCCGCGGCGGGGCCCGCGCGGCAGCAGCGCGCGAGCCAGGGCGCGGGCTCGAAGACGGCTCTTCGAGCGCCTCCGCGCTTGAGGTGCAAGCCCCCTGCGCAAAAACAAAGGTACGTCATCGTGGCGAGGGCGGATTTCAACAGGCCGATGGGGGTGGGCACCGCGAGCGTCCCCGAGTCGGTGATCGGCAGCGGGTGCCGGGGGCTTCCGATGGGATCGGGCCACGGGGGCCCGTGGAACGCGAGCTCTTGTGGCCTGAGTGAACACGGCAGGCGGAGCTTTTGAGTGCCAGTGTGCGGCTCCAGCACCTGTTTGCAAGTGGTCGGGTGGCTCCAGATGTTCTGCAACAAAAAGGTCGGGGCGACGCACTTCGTCGCGCAT